ACCTTGGCCTGTTGGCCATTATTGAAGGCAATAAGTGCCCTTATTAGCCATCAATTATGATCCATATGGCTGTCTCTTATACACATCTAGATGTGTATAAGAGACAGGCTCTAGGTTGTGGCGCAAGTGTGCGGGAAGGACTCTATTGCAAGGCATTTCTATCCTCGTTAGACTTATTGCAGCCATGATAGAAGGCTAACCTTAATATTTGAAATGACATGTATTTAACTCAGATCTAGTTCGCACTAAGCTCAGTAACTATCACTATCTCGTATATAGATAAAAATCACGTGTGGTATAGGTATTGGACGCAAGTCACGAGAATCGCAAGCGACAGTTAGTATGAAAGTAGTTTGTTTATTTGGTATTATGACTGACTCGGGACGGTTGACAAAATTTAGTATCGTTAACTAGGAAATGCATGAATATATGCGCAATCGACATCACCTGAGGCACGCCATGAAAACATGCGTAGCAAGCAGCAAATATTTTTTTGCCGCGATAAAAATCGGAAACTGGTCTGAAAACGCCATCCTATCAGCAGCAAATTTACGAGACTGCCCGCAATGATATTAGAGGGCAAAGGAAAATTTTTGCACATGGTCAAAATAGCAGTTGAAACTAGTTGGCCGTTGACTACTCCCGCAGATTTTCATTGCCAGATTGTCACTATCAAGGAGCGTAGTAAGTAACTAAAAATAACACGACACTATAGCTGTAATCAGCATATTGCGATAAAAAAATTACCGATTAAAGTTGGAAGTGCAATGTGGATGCTATTTTTTACCTGTCGAGAGCCTGAACAGCTTTCCTGATGCCTCGAGCAAGGCCATCAGCATAGTCTGCAAGCTTGAGAACTTCTTGAATGGCCGAGTTCAGGTCCATAGGCCCGCCAGCTGGTGCAGCTGGGGCTGGGGTACTAACGTCTCTGTAAAAATGAATACAGTTAAAACCATGCAAAAAATTCCCCTTTTTACTTTTTAGCCATTTGCTGAGCTGAACGTCCACCAGGGTTGGCAATGATTAAATCAGAATGATTAAATCAAAATGATTAAATCATGTGATTAAATCACTTGATTTTTTTATAAAAAAATCATGATTTATNAAAAAAATCATTGATTTTTTATTTTTTTTTTATCAAAAAAATCACCAACCCTGAAATTAACACATTAAAATGGACTATACATCAGGGGAGGCTTCTAACATGAACGGTGAGGAAATGGTTAATTCGATAGGATTCAAGTCTACTATGAATAAAAATGCCACCAGCAACACACTGTGGCATAAGATATACAACCATTTACACAAGAAATTCAAAATCTGTCTACATTACGCCTAATGTTGAGTAAAAATTTGTCTCCATTCCACTCAAGATTCCAGTTTAAAGTGCAATGGAAATCAATATATTGCTAGCCTAATGTGTAATGACCATAGGTATATGATGGGACTCAATATCAGACTATCATACCAATGAACTGAGCTACCTGAGTAGCCAACGTACTGGCAAGGATGGAATATATCAACTTCCTAAGCTACAATTAAAGCCGTTCTGATACTTTTCAGACAAGATTCCCACTGGAATTTGAAGCATGTTAATCTGCTGTCAGACCATTAAAAAAGTCAACCCACACAAGAAAACTTCATTAAAAAAGTCAGAAATACAAAATTTTGATTTCCCTAGGGAGCTAAAGCACTCGACCAACACAAGGCTACATGCTACATAAACTGACTAAACTAAAATATACTTCATTGAAAAGAAATCCTTTTTATAAAGAATAGGAAGTTAAGGTACGTATATCATTTAGCTCTCTTAACCCAACCTTGTGCCCCAAGATGCAATTCTCGACTACGGTACCCTTCGAGATGCAATTCTCGACTACGGTACCCTTCGAGATGCAATTCTCGACTACGGTACCCTTCGAGATGCAATTCTCGACTACGGTACCCTTCGAGATGCAATTCTCGACTACGGTACCCTNTCTCGACTACCCTTCAAGATGCAACTTTCGACTACCCTTCAAGATGCAATTCTTGACTTTCTCCTCTTCTCTCATCCTCCATGTGCTTTCCTAATATCTCTCAACAACACAGCCAGCTTCTCAGACAAACCCACAATCATAGTAATGAACTCAATTGCATAATTAGTCATACCTCACTCTTTCATTCACTCTTCTTATTCATAATCACCATCATAGAATGCCATTATTTCTTCCACATTCCACCATCAAGTGCATCATTGTTTCTATCACCTATCACACATAAAACATTTGCTCTCCCTTCTCTCATTTCATCTGCACACACATTTTCATTCACACCCAGCAACTTCACTCTGCCATATTAAGAGATTTTTTGACTGGTTTTTGTCCTGGAGTAGACAATTCAAGTCTTCTGGATAGGGGACTTATACACAGGGAAAGTATTTGCCAATAGTGTTAGTGGTATGCATTCATCTGGCTAGAAATTGGAAGAAAAAATCATCAATTTTTTTTAAGTATCAACTGTAATAAAAATTATTGAAAATTATGGCTAAAAATTTATGAAATTGCCCCAAATTTTGAAGCAAAAAGTCCTTGCCATACTTTCCCCTTATATAGGCATCTAATGAGCATCATCACATATATATACATATATATATCAAATAAAATATTGAACCAAGAGGAATTTATAATAAAGCGATTCCTAAAATATCTCATCTACCACAATGGTATTACATACATCCTCAAATCTATAACTACTACCAAATTTAGTAATTGTATCTTTTTTTTAAATATGCCACAAAATTTCAGTATTCAGGAGGAATTTTCAAACTAACACTACAAAACAAGTACAGAACAAATCACCAACCATTTATTCCTAACAAGTAGCATCTACAAACCGCACTAAAATTATTTTTACTCACCCTTCCGTATCCGACATTACTTGGAATTCATCCTGGTGGAATGAAGGACAAAAAAAAATAGATTAAACACAATTTTTGGCAATTGGTTGACTACAATTAAAGGCTCTATACACCATACATTTCTCACATCAGGAACCTTATGATGTGTATCAATCCTACACATCCACTTGTATATTATTTCATCATACAATTTTATTACAAATCCATTTTTTTCCGCTGGTTCCAAATGGAACCACTCGGCATTAATGGGTTAACAACGCAGCACAGAAAGAAAAACACTTCCTTTTTTCTACATTATTTGCAAATCCCATGACTTTCCATAACCTGAAATGAAATCCCATGACTTACCAGGCCCGGAAAATGAAAAATCAAATTTCATGACCTGTATGCACCTCTGGAACTGGGACAAGACTTGTGTCCCAGACTTAAAAACTTGTGACCTCACAATTATCTAACTATAAAAGACAGGTAAAAAAGAAACGAGAATTAATGTAACAAGACAGACATTCTGAGCAAGCGGATTAAGGAACAACAAGTTAGCTCCAGATTGTTAATAAACAGTTGTAAGTCCTGTGCAGCTGTGGCAGATTTGATTTAACTGCCAATTTAACATGTGTCAGTTAAATAAGTGGGCAGATTTGGCAATGTATGGCTGAATATCGAGTGAATGATGTTGATGTCTAGCCAATAGGAGCACTATGCAAGAATTGTAAGAGATCAATAAGGGTTCAACAAGAGTACAGGAGCTCATCGCGATTTAGTGACACTATTTGTCTGAAAATTAGTTAACTGTGGAATGGTTCTCTTTTCTCTGCCATGCAGGATGCCTAAAGAGCCCAAGGCAACATTGAAAATTTTTCTAGGAGCTCAAAAGCCAGTGAGACTCATGATGACAGAGGTGTGAGCCAGACCAGCAGCCAAAGTAACCTATGCAGCAATATTTACATAGGGAACACATTCTCCAGAACCTCTTCTGGTACAAAATGTCAAAGCAGGTGCAAGTGCTACCCTCAGTCATCACAAGATACTCTAGTCCAAATGAAAATAAAACCAGTGCAAGGGCTGTCACTCAAGAGTCAAGACCCTGTTGCTTTACCATCTAGTGCTACAAGTGATGTACCTTAACTATCAGAAACTTTATTAAATAATAGATTTTGTCATTGAAGATTTTTCTTTACGCATCATGAAAATAAATTTTTAATGTGCATTTCAGCAGAACATTGCAAATGGGAAATAAAAAAATGTACATTTTCATTGTAATTTCTATTTGCCTTGTCAAGTTACTCAAGTATATGTGTCATGTTAAACCCCAATACGTAGCAAAAAAATATCTATTACCAAGCCATCAATGGGAATTGTCAATAAATGTGTCAAGTTATTGTACATGTGTGAAAACTAAAAACAAAGTCTTCATCCCATCATCAAGTTCTCGTTATGAAGGATATAAATTCCGGGAAATATTAAACCCCCTATTTTAACTGGGACATCTCATCTCATCTCAGTATCCTCTCAGAATTGCTAGGGAGTGATGAAAATTATCCAAATTTTTATTGTGAACTGGGACAAAGCTTCTTGTCTCATCTTAAGGAAAAAGGTTCCAAATGCAGGAGTCTAATCTACATTTTGAGCTGCTACTGAAGCTTGCCAGCAATTTTTAAAACCATGAGAATCTTGCTAGCTGAATTACCTTCAATCCAATTGTTAATAAAAGTGGAATATGGGGCTGCAAGGTTGTAAATTCAGTGAAAATTGGCCAGTTTAGAGCTGCAAAATTTCAGAAATATGGAAATTTTCATTTCTGTGTGCAAGGCATTTTATGTTGCTCTCCATCAGGGTTGCAAACAAGCAGGCTTTTTTTATTCAGCATCAACAGACAACATAAGAATTGTAACTGAGAATTAGGCATATACATTTCAGCACAAGTTTTCTAATGTCAAATGCTTCCTAAAAAGTCCACCATCTTTCTCAATCACATTATTCCCAAGCAATTTTTCATACATTTGTAATTTTGCTACTGAATTGTGCAATGTGCACTAGTCAACAATAAGGTAGAATTTAATTCATCTAGCAAGCATAGTGGTAAAGCAGCAAATTTATGCTAGACTTCAAGTTCAATTCTGAGTCCTATAAGTGGACCAGCAAAGTATTGTGGATACCAGCATAATAATACACAAGATATTTGTTCAAATCTTGAGTAAATTAAAACTTAGCCAATTCTAAAAAATTTCTGGTTTGTGACTCACTATGCTCTCCATACTTAACTTACAGCTCAATTCAGTCAAGTGTCAACCCATGTTCAGAACTAACAAGAATCTAACTTTATAACCATACCTACATTCTGGCTCTGCAGTCAAGAAGATTCTTTTGTGAGGCCTAATTGTTTACATGTTCAGAGAAAGCATTTTGTTATTGTGACCAGAAAGTTTGTGAAACTTCTAGCTTTTCTCCAGATACCTAGGCTTAATCACAAATTCACAATAAGGTACAAAAAATCTGAGAAATCTATGATGTTTTTCCATACACATTTTCTATATTGCAGGGAATTTCAAAAAGCTGACAACTGCCAACGTGTCAAGTTTCTAATCAAAGATGTCCAAAAACCCAATAGCACAGCAGTATTATGTCATTAGTCATTTCCAATTAGGTATATAAATGGGGTATTCAGAATCATCAATGACAACAACTGGAAATTCAAGATGGCTATGAGTTCACATTGACAGAGTAGCTAGGCATATATGACTTTTTAGACTTGACCAAGATTCTCAAGTTCAATTTTGAGCCCTACAAGAGAACAAGTAGCTAGACTAGCAATATAGCTAGCTATCATCTGATGATGATGGATAACATCAGCATTACTATCATACAATGATTTAAATCTTGAGTATAGACAAGGAAATTAAAAATGAACTGACTAAAAACTCTGGTTTGTCAGTTGTCACTATGCCCTTATACCAGCCTTTCCCAAAGTTCTGATGGTACCTGATGATGGATGCCGAATAATGCCCAATGACTTGGCACAGTTTACTCGAAGCTAGTTAAGAAATTTTATAGCAAATAGTTCGCTCTAAAAAAAAACAAAGACCACCAGCGGCCCAAACCCAAGGGCCATGGCATGCGCGCTCGAGCAGAACTTGCTCAACGATTTCATTTAGGTAGCCCCATTTACCTATCAAGAATACCGCATTCTATGCAATTAACGTATTTAATATCAATAATTAAATTTTAACAAATTTGCAAGAAAAACTTATGGCTTTAATTTTTACCATCATACAAGCATCTGTGTTAAATAGTAAATACTTACAACCGCTAGTACCAGAGAAAGGTAGGTTGGTAGATGATACTCAGCGCGCTACTCGAGTGTTTACAAGAATGAAATGGTTCTCCCGGGAAATGAAGCTGGTCATTCAACTGACTGGTGAATCTGAGTTAAAAGTATATTGAGTACTCTAATATTTATACAAAATTCTCAAACGATCACCTAAGACATTATTTTTTGCATTCCAAATAATGTTTTCCTATTGAATAAAACATAGATTTATTTCTTCGAAAATTTATGCGTGTTTGATATTGATAATACTGTAGAAAAATAATGTACGTGTCTTCTTCATGGATCATAGGTTTTCTTGCTCATTTTCCACTTAAAAAAACGAAGCAAGACATAGCTCCAATTCACTCTCTCAACAGCCTATATTAAAGTAGTTTATGAGAGGACAATGTAACCTATAGCTATAGGTGCTTGATGGAGCAAGCATGATTCGTTACCTCGGAAGAGACAGTAAACCATACCACAGAGGTTATTTACGGTGGTTCTGTATGATATGTGCAGTTTGAGAAACTCATGCCTAAAACGCTTTTTCTCTTTGGCGAGAAAAAGGCCTAAATTTTATGCTCGAAATCAGATTAGGGCATTCCATAACCTAACTGGAGATTTACCTAGAGTTACCTCATCATATACCGGATCGATAAGCGTCTCAGGCTTTTGAGTTCACCTTGTATATCTGGAAAGCCAGAAAATCCTGCATACATCTCATGATAGAACTTTTCGCCATTGCTCTACGCACGATGAAGGCCTTCCAATAAATATCGGCGGTTAAGAATTTATTGAAAACGGACATTTATACACAAATTCAGCTTGGCCAATTACAACGGGATTTACATTGCACAGCTTAATCTGTCGCCTGGCACATCATGTGCGCATAACTCCACAAAATTGGTTGTGTAATAATTAGAGTTCATTTGTCGTTATATACATCATCTCCTAAATTTTCATGTTCCGAATCATACAGGGACGTGAGATTAAGCAGTCGAACACAAACCGAACCAGACCGCGCCAACTATGTGTTGAATGATGAGTTTCCATCCGTGCTCGGGACTTCGGCCTCAGTGAAATGAGGGAGTTCTGATGAAGCTTTTGATCAATCGCTTGCGTCAAAGCTAGGGACATATTATTTTTTGTTCGGGATCATGATTCATTTAAGGCGATAATTGGCTGGCATCAGTTCCTATGTGATGGAAAAAATTACATATAAACTAGTTTCTGAATTGCTTTAGTATTGTGCATTTTATTTTCAATTTATCCTATGGGGCACATTTCCTTCCTAAAATTTGACTACTTGCAATTTGTCTACTAATACTGTGCTGCAATATCAGTGAAAAGACAATAATATCAGTGAAATATCATTTAGACACAGCGCTGCTCGAGGGCGCCAGCCCACGGACACCATCGTTCAGAGGAAGCACGCGCCCCTGCGCCGGACTACTCATGCTTCAGAGCGCCGGACTACTCTTGCTTCAGAGCGCCCGCGACCCTTGCTTCAGAGCGCCCCGCGTCTCGTGCTTCAGAGCGCCCCGCGACTCTTGCTTCAGATCACCCCGCGACTCTTGCTTCAGAGCGCCCCGCGACTCTTACTTCAGAGCACCCCGCAACTCGTGCTTCAGAGCACCCCGCGACTCGTGTTTCAGAGCGCCCCGCGCCTCTTGCTTCAGAGCACCCCACGACTCTTGCTTCAGAGCACCCCGCGACTCGCGCTTCAGAGCGCCCCGCGACTCGTGCTTCAGAGCGCCCCGCGACCCTTGCTTCAGAGCACCCCGCGACTCTTGCTTCAGAGCGCCCCGCGACTCTTGCTTCAGAGCGCCCCGCGACNGCGACCCTTGCTTCAGAGCGCCCAGCGACCCTTGCTTCAGAGCGCCCAGCGACCCTTGCTTCAGAGCGCCCAGCGACCCTTGCTTCAGAGCGCCCAGCGACCCTTGCTTCAGAGCGCCCAGCGACCCTTGCTTCAGAGCGCCCAGCGACCCTTGCTTCAGAGCGCCCAGCGACCCTTGCTTCAGAGCGCCCAGCGACCCTTGCTTCAGAGCGCCCAGCGACCCTTGCTTCAGAGCGCCCAGCGACCCTTGCTTCAGAGCGCCCAGCGACCCTTGCTTCAGAGCGCCCAGCGACTCTTGCTTCAGAGCGCCCCGCGACTCTTGCTGTACTCGAAGTTATTCAAACTAATGTTGATCCAGGCGTGGGTGTTATCTCCGTATAAGATAGGAACTTTCGATTAAAAATTACGATTGGAAAATTTCGTGTAATCACAAATTGCGTTTTTTTTCTCAGAGTTTTTTTTTCAATTCTCTTTGCGAGTGTTCTGGTGTGTGAAGTAATACGAAGCTGTCATGATTTCACTGTTAATGCCGTTCAGTTTCGGCTAATTTTAAAGACGTTTTAGTTGTTGCACAGAGACAATGTCCTCAATGGTTGTTTATTTACAATATGAGTCTACAATTGCAATTAATTATTTACAATTAGCCAACTGTTGCCAATCAAATATTATATATCTTAATCTGCCTATCAAGATAGAATTAACGAATACGAGCCTAATATTTGTTCGAGCTCTAAGTAACATTACGCGCCGCAGTTAATGCACGCCAAGAGCCACGCCCCGCCGCTGCGAATTATAGTCCTAGGACTGGCCGCGCCGGTCGTCTTCATTAACGGCAGCTGCGAGGAGACAATGTGGGCGCCTCGCTCAAGATGCACTGCATTGCTGCAGAGTACGGCCCTGCAGTGCAGTTCTCTAAACTCAGCTCTCAAATGGCACTTGAAAACTCGAAGAGACTCCAGGGTACAGTAACGAGTCTGAGAACTTATTCATTAATGATTGGAGCCAAGAAACAACGATGAACTAGCGTTCTGGAAGAACAATGGCAAGGTGTTCCTGCAAGATGTGAAATACGAACGTGAACAATATGCTAAGTTTATGTATGATTGGAGGCCGCACCATAACATTCTGTTATGTATTGCCTTCGCTCTTTAATGGAGGTCACGCTAACTGATCATAGACTCACACGAATAGATTTGATTTATTTACCAAATATTCACTACGGTGCAAGATGAAGCTAAAACACAATAAGATCTTAATGAAACTAATGCCGTTTGCACCCATTTCTGCATGATTCACTTGCAGAGGGTTCGTTTTGGCTCTTCAAAGGCTGCCCTGATGCACGGTTACGATCGCAGTGTGCTTCGTATCCAACCGACCTTTACTAATGCCCCATTACAGTGTGCTACTCATCCAGCCGACCTTTAATGCCCATTACAGTGTGCTACTCATCCAGCCGTCCTTTATTGCCCATTACAGAGTGCTACTCATCCAGCCGACCTTTACTAATGCCCCATTACAGTGTGTTACTCATCCAGCCGACCTTTAATGCCCATTACAGAATGCTACTCATCCAGCCGACCTTTATTGCCCATTACAGTGTGTTACTCATCCAGCCGGCCTTTACTAATGCCCCATTACAGTGTGTTACTCATCCAGCCGACCTTTAATGCCCATTACAGTGTGCTACTCATTCAGCCGACCTTTACTAATGCCCCATTACAGTGTGCTACTCATCCAGCCGACCTTTACTAATGCCCCATTGCAGTATGCTACACATTTCAATCTAATCGGCTTTGTCGCATATAGCTATATTCTAATGCCCATTTCAATTTTTTTCTAATTGCTGACCGTAAACAAAAAGGGTGGGATCAGCTGACATTTTTTTCGGCAGCGTTGCGTCGATGTCCATGTAATGAATGTCTTCAAACATTATCGCTCGAATTGTAAACAATTGACGAAGCTTTATTCATACTTTTTTTCTCTTCAAAGTGGAAGCCGTAAATTAAGCACAATACTATTAAAGTAATGAAGTAAGCAAAATAGGTAGATTCTAAGCTATATTTATATCCTATTAAAAAGCAGGAACATAAGGCTACGCTAGAGTACCACTGTGTCAGAAGCCAATAAACAATACAGAGCAGAACTAATAAGGCATCCAAATCCATCAGAGATTTTCGGACGAGCAGTATCATTTTCTTTCGCAACTGTGCTCGCACATTGCAAGTACAATATACTAATGGTAGGAAACCATTACGCTGGTTGGTCCGCTAGATTCTGGCGGAAATGTCCGTCAGTCTGGAATAACATGCGCAGCGTGGACCCCACTATTCCATCGTTTATGGCATCCCGGCTCTGAATTTGAGAAAAATTCTCGGCAGGTTATTCATGAGAAGTCCGTATTTCTTCACCGTACAAGTAAATTAAATACTGTTTAGGGTTTAAGTCATCCTTAAGATGAATGAAAAAATTGTGTGCAGTCGAATCTCAGTTAGCTTACTAACCACGTTTACCGAATAGTACTTTTAGAAATTATATTCAGTTGTGCTCGCAGACAAACCTGATTACTCCTAAGTTTCAGTGTAGCAGCTGAATATTATTACTGTCCGGTCATATAAATTCCTGTCTAGCTCCTTCTTACCAGTGAGTGCATGGATGCTGAAATTCCAATACTGCTAAGTGAACATTTCTTCTGAAGATCGTAAAAAAATTGCCCACGGGAGGCCAGTTTTGTATCGCATCATTGATCGAGAGTTGGGCTCTGCACATAATACTTATATATCGCGGTTTACTTTATTTAACCCATGGTTGAACTAGTATATATAGTTCAACCATGATTTAACCTATCAGCAAAAGATCCAACAAAAAAAGATTCATTTATCCAAAGTTTTTTGAAAAGAAGATAAATTCCGTCTTCTTATTACTTTCCGTCATGTTATCAGTTATTCGGGATGAGATAAATAACGTTCACAGAATTTAATTTGATGATGATAATAAGTTTCAACAGTAAACTCAAGTAGGGGAAATTTATCAGAAATTGAGTTCGATGTCCAGACGGTAGCATCCGAAGATTCTTTTTATTTGTGTAAATTTTCAAAATTATAAATACTAGGCATATATATCGGCCAGAGCCGTATTAAAAGTGATCACCTCGCCCCACGTTGCGCTCACGTCGATTTCTGCTCACCCGGTACGCAAGTGACGCGCAGAATTTGTGGGCCAGAAGGAAGCGCTAACTTTAG